GAGAGAGAGAGAGAGAGAGAGAGAGAGAGAGAGAGAGAGAGAGAGAGAGAGAGAGAGAGAGAGAGATGTACAATAACACACATACGCTCCCACCACGGTTTGTTACTGCACGTTGAGACGGGCAGTCAATCTAAACATCTCAGGTCTATTAAAAATTTGAGGTGAAAATCAAAATATACATAAATGGAAAAACGATGTAGAAGTGGTGCCTGCGGAGACTAATACGAATTCTGTTTTAAACAAAACAACGAACCAAGTCAATTACACAATTTCGTTCAACAAGGCAGAGGTGAAGTTGTAATCATATCACTGGATTCTCCCCCTCCAATCGCACCCCTCCCGCCTCACCCACCCTCACCCTTTTAATCAATATCAGCGGTTAAGGTGTCGAGGTTACGAGAACGGTGCATTCCCTCCACATCCCCTCCCTTCCCGCCATCCCCACCGGCCCCTCCTTGTGGTGTCAGCGGTGATTGTGCATCACCTTTGCCAGTGCATAAAGATAGTTGCAACTGACTCTCCGCCACACTCGGCCCAAAATCAGACTCTGACTCGATCTCGGATCTGCCTTGCCTTGCAACATTTGTTATCAATAAACTCCCGTACGTGGCACCTGCATCCGGTGGCAACGTCGTTGACACATCGATGGGTGGGGACGATTGTGCCGCGGCGACCGAGATGGATTTTTCCAATATTTGCGGCTTAGACGTGATATCAACCTCTTGAGGCCCGACAACAGTAGTCCCATCATCTCCCCTGTGCCGTGCTTGCGCGGCCACAGAGGCCGGCTCAGCCGAAGGCGTGAAATCATGAGAGCAGCTCCCCTGCAAGGTTCTGGCGGTTTGATCAACCTTCAAGTTGATTGACTCGCGTGAGGGACCCGAGCGCAGGGCATAAAATTTGTTGCTGTACTCCAGTTACCGATTGTCGCGCAAGACATGAAACAATTCTTCGACCTTGGCTTTGATGGCAGCCTCGCTCTGCAGTGGATTCTCGACGCGCACGCGATGCAGGATCGCGAGTTCCGTCGTTTTAAACCAGATGTCCTTCGACATCCAGCGAAAAGTCTTCCAACCGCTTGTGTATTTCACCGCTATCTTCCACTCCCCATCTTGGATGCACGGCTGTAAAACGCCCTCATGCCATATGATGTCATGGCCCCACTGATCCTCGCCTGTGTGGGTGTGTTTGCCCTCCAAGAAATATATAGTGTCCAGGTCAGCACAGTAGCCTGAAGGAATTGCATCGCCTGATGCGAGCGTCGACGCTTCGCCTGGTATCTCAATGTCGTCTTCTTCATTGCCACCGCATCTTCCAATGTCTTGCAATGCAGCACTCTTTGACGGGGCCACCATTGAGGCGACGCTTGGGGCGGCCACCGGGATGGACCCTCCGTGCGAATGGACAGTTCCGTCATCGTGATCTTGCACCATTCCACCGCGCGGAACCTCAGCACATGTGTCCTTGCCCAGTTCGAGGTCGGAGTCCGAAGAATCTTCCTCGCTGTCGATGGGGTTAAAGCCATCGCCCGATTTCGCGAGCTCCGCGTAGTCCTTGGACGTCAATTTGTCTTTGCGAAGATCGAACTTGAGGATCTAGCATCGAGCAACAAAAGTCTCAAAGGCACCAGTGAGAGCACCGTGATAATATTTGAGGGTCTCTGTTGCCTTTGCTTTCCTGTATATATATTTCCCGTCAAGCCGTCCTTGTGGCATATCGTGGAACAGGTACTCCCACACCCTCAGTCTCTTAGGCCCCAACTTGTGGAACATGTCCCTGTTCGGGCGATGTTTGCAACGCGGTTTCTCGATGTGGCAATTGAATCTGTCGTCCTTGACAAGTATATCGATGAACTTTGTTAAGTATGCAATGTCCTTTGCCGACTCGTCACAGGCAATGACATTATTCCCTGCTAGTAAGAATTCCCACACAAGACCCGCGTGCGCCCTACCCAATAAAAGCACACCTTCCGCCTCCCCGACGAATGACCCACACAACGAACGCAACTTGCCAGACTCTCGCTCCCAGATGGAATACACCACACTTTCATCGCCCTCTATGCCACCGTGTTTCCCCAGACACTTCCCGAACTTGTCCTCCACAACATGCACGTTTGTGAGGTCATTGACAAGGCGGGGTGCGACCGTGACCTTTCTGAGATCCCTTCCCTCCGCGTGCAGGACAATGGCCATCATGTCTCGCCTCGCCGTAGCGATATTGCCGTACCTCGTGATGTCATTCGATGGCCTGTCCACCCGTTTCCAGGTCCCAAGGATGAGTTCGATGTCCTCCCACTGGAATAAGCAACGCAGAACATCACTTTGCACCTTTTGCGGTGCAAAGACAAAAAGAGTCCAATTAACGCCACAACACTTAGTCATCATAGAGTGTAGAGCGTGGAACTCTTCAGAGGTCTATGTCGTGCAGAAGTTAGCGGGGGAGATGTCAAGGATGACGGCCCTGCAGGTCATTTTTTGCGCCGCAACGACGATGTCGTCTGGCGCAGCCAGCGCTTCCTTCAATGGCATGCACACCAGTAGCAATGTTGTTTGCTTTTTAAGTTTATCCCACACGATATGACGTGCGCTAGAGGCAACCCGTTTGACCTCCGCCCGAAGCAGATCGAGCTTATCAATTGAGGTGTATACAAACACCTTAAAGTAGAACGGAGCCTCCTTATACATTGCCGCCGTAGGGCCCAGGCCTGATCCTTGCCTTGCCTCCTCCACCCCTCCAAGCCGTCGAGGGACCGTCTTCACTTTGCTGACATGCAGCTTGTCCCGTTCCTTCTCCCATTCAGCTGCACACAGACCGTTCGGCCCATACCTCTCTTCGAGGTCCTTGTATGACATGAAGAAGGCATCATTCCATTCATCGTCCGCCCTTCCCTCGGCGCAAAAAACAACGTAGTTGAACATACGGACCATGTACCGTTCCTTGCGCATGATGTCGAGGAGGCACTCCGTATTCACTCTCGGAGGCATGACCTTGACGTTCGTCGCGACCACCTTCCCTTTCATGAGGAGGAGCAGTGCAACTTCCTTCTCGCAGCACGTCAAATCCCCAAAATTTTTGAAGTAGGAAGGACAGAGATCCTTCCACGACATGGTGGAGCCTTTGGGGCCATCTCTCGCGTATATTCAATGGTATAATGTTCTTTGCCCCTTCGTCTCGTCGATGTACGGGCCTGGCTGGCGTCCCTCCATCCTACCCGGCATGTCAAGCGGTATTTTACCATCGCCAACTGGCAGCTTCCCCTCGTTGAACATCTCGAAGAACTTCTCGACCAGTGGTCACACAGCCTCGGTGGATGTGGCGAGGTTCATGTAGCCACGAAGTGTATTGCTCCAATCCTTACTGTACTCATTCTCGAGCGCTTGCTTCACCAACGTCTTGTCGCATGCCTTCCCCATGGAGGCCCTTAAGAAATTCTGCCACTTCTTTTGGTGTGCAACGGCGACCGCATCCTTATCGCTGACCTTGCCTTTCTGGGCCTCGATTCGATGGTTATCGATCCACCATTGCCTCATATCACGGACAACATCCTCGAAGGACAACATCATGGCCCGATTTTCGCGCGTGTTGTCGAAGGCGGAGACATTGAAATACCCTCGCGTCTGCTCATCTCCAAAATAGACGACCCGCACCTTAGAGTACGCGCGAAGGCCATAGACGTCGACTGTCAGAGAGCCCTTTTTTACCAATGTCTTCATGGCCTCGACCGTATGTTGACCACAGATAGCATACCAATCGAACTTTGAGGAGTCTCTTTCGAAGAATTTGGCCGGTGTTATCCGCCTACCCTGCCCACCAACGATGTCGTTGCGGTCAACCGGCGCAAGCACGAGCTCAGGCCTATCCCACGCCCCCGGTTCCGTGGTGATGGAACTCTCGATGGCATTCACGATGCCTCGCACAATGTTCGCAGACAAAGAGCGGTGGTTGAAAAGAATATTCCCGTGGGGAATGCGTTTGATTTTCATGACGTCCACAAGAACAGGAAGGACTTTTTGATTAGCAAAACCCCGCTCGTCGTACTCGAGGAAGAAACAACGCGTGTGTCGATGGGCGCAGCGTGCTGAAGTGGTTCATCATCATCGTCGGGCATGCGAGGGCCCACTCCCTCGCCCTCATCCCCTGAGTCCCGCAGTTCTTCTGCCCTCACAATCTGCTTACCTTTTCTTGCGCCACCACGGCTGCCGCCACGACCGCCAGATCTTCCCCCCTGGCTGCTCTTCCGAGGAGGTCTCGCCTCCTGGGATGCCACCAAAGCTCTACGAGCCTCATTAACAGCGTCAGTCCTCGCTTGTCTCTTGTGAGCGAAAGCAGAAGGAGAAGTTTCTCTTGTCCTTTTCCTCGACTTTGATCCTCTGTGCTCCTGCGAGTCATGCCCACCCTGACTCCCGCCTTGTGAATGTCATATCGCAGGGGACGACAAGGGCCGACCAACAACCGCTCCCACAAAACCGGTGGGGATGTCGCCAGGGCCATGCTCCGACGTGACACCGACGTCGTCATCGCCAAGCATGTTTTGGTCCTGCATGTTCTCATCCCCAACGTCCATATACTCGTCATCACCGTCGTCTTCACGTAGACCGCAGCTTCCCCCATCTTCTTCCTCCTCGTTTCGCTCAGTGAGGGCAGTCGCACCTTCCCGGGCACTGTCACGCGCAGCATTGCGTCCGTACAGGTTTCTGTCATCGTACTCCGTAGCCTCACTGGAACATTGAGCGATATCGTGACCTCCCGTCACCGTGGGCAAGGGCGAGGGCGACGCGGCTGGCAAAGGCGGAGCTGGACAAGCAGCTAACTGTTTCCTCTTCCCAACCGGCGCGGATGGCGTCTGTCGCGATTTCCTCGAGCTCGTGACAAAGGGCACGAAAGCGCAGTYGGCTTGCTGGTCCAGAGGCAGCCTCGAGAAGGCTTCCCTGTACTCCTTAACAACGCCTGGCAGTTGGTCCGCCGGGCTGCTGAATTTCACCAAGGGTTTGGTGAGCTCCAAGGAACTTTCAACGATAGGATGACAGCCAGTAACGCGGTAGCCGTTCGTTCTACTGAGGAACTGTTCCGCTGTCAGCATGCGAAGCTCGGTGCCGTCCCCGCACACGTCAAACGCTTTCATGGAGAAAGCCTTGACGCCGTAGCCTTGAAAGAGCCGCAAGTCAAGGCCGACCTTCTTGTCTTCCTTGACCCAGTTTGTCCCATCCTTGTCGAAAACTGACGTAAGAAAGAAGGTCCTGAACGTCCTCCCGTCGTAGGTATTCCTGGCGCTCTCAGATTTCTCAACACCCCCACAGCAGTACCACGTCGCACCATTGTCATCGCTCAAGAAGATGACGGCCCCACACCCAGGCCTATGCAGACCACCAACCCAATCCAGAGCCCATGGTTTGTTGTTGTAGATTTTTGACCTGCCATATGCCCGAGAGGACGAAGCAGCAGGTTGACCTAGAGGGCACAAACAAAGGAAACGCACAAGCAAAAAACAAATGAGGAACACACAGAAGCGCTTCGCATGTGGAGTCGACCCTCGTTTCTGGAAAGGGGTCCGACGTTCCCTAGACGCCGGCCCCCCCGACCCTTGTTTCTGAAAGGAGGTCCGGCGTTCCGAGAACGCCTGACCCCCGACGTCTCCGGAAAGGGGGTCTGACATTCCCAGAACGCCCGCCCCCCACAGGCGTTTATGGAAGGGGGTCCGACGTTCCCAGAACGCCCGACCCCTGCCCGTCGTATATGAAAGGGGGTCCGGCGTTCCCAGAACGCCCGACCCCCGACCGTCGTTTATGAAAGGGGGTCCGGCGTTCCCTAGACGCCCGACACCCCAACACCCCTACCCTCGTTCCCTAGACGTCCGGCATACCACGACCGTTGCGTGTGCGGGTCTGGCGTCCCCTAAATAGCAGACCCCACCAGCGTGCCTGTCGGCACGGTAGTTGACCGGACCCCTCCCTCGCCCGCATCCTCGACGGAACCCCGCGGCGTTTCATGTCCGTCCCTCCCCCTCCCTCTAGCAGCACCGAGGGGGGTCCAGCGTTCCCGGAACGCCGGACCCATGTCGGTGCTGCCAGAGAGTAAGGGGCCCCTTCCCTCCCCGTCGCCGGCAACAGCACCAAGGGGATCCGGCGTTCCGGGAACGCCGGACCCCCTTTGAGCTGCGGGGGAAGAAGTGGGTCCGTCCGCACCCTTCGATGGCCACAGCACAAAGGGGGTCCGGCGTTCCCGGAACGCCGGACCCCCTATGTGCGGCGGGGGAGGACGGGAACGCCGGACCCCCTTTGTGCCGCGGGGGAGGACGGGGGTCCGAGATCCGATCCGACGATGGGCATAGCACGAAGGGGGTCCAGCGTTCCCGGAACGTCGGAACCCCTTTGTGCTGTGGGGGATGAAGGGGGTCCGCCCCATCCCCTCGATGACCACAACACCAAGCCTGCGCACCCCTCGCTCCCCCGAAGCGCGAAGGGGGTCCGGCGTTCCCGGAACGCCGGA